ACTACTGCAATAGAGATAGGAGCGCCCATCTTACCTAACAAGTCACAAACAGCCAGCCAGGCAGACGGGAAATCCTCCTTGAACGTTATAGGTGAAACTCGTATACACCTCACTCGAAATGAGAGATCGTTTTTCCTGGAGGCTCTCGTAGTAGACCAGTTGAGTACCGAAATTTTGGCCGGAACTCCATTTTTAGAGATGAACGATATTACTTAAAGACCAGCCCGAAAGCTGATTTCTTTTTCAGATGGCTCCTCTATTACGTATGATGCTGGAAAAAACGTTCGATCTACAGCAAACATCAAACGTACTCAGTCTCATATACTTCGCGCGGGACCAATAAATTCCACGCTTTGGCCTGGAGACTATATTGAAACTGTCATTCCTGATAATTTGATTGGTGAGAAGGAACTCGCCGTTGAACCATGTGTCTATGGCAATGATTCTTCGCCTGTGTGGTTAAATCCGCAAGTCGTAAGATCAGTTCATGACAAAATAAGACTTACAAACGACACCGGACTACCATGTATTGTGAAACGCAACTCTCACATTGGTTTTGTCTGTCCAGTGAGCGATAGTGAAAAATCGCTTGAGTTCCAGCCATCCACTTTGGATACTTCGCCTTCCAACATTTCTATTGCGTCACCAGTACTTCACTCTGCTGCCGTAAAGTTGGATCCAGATTCCCTGTTGACATCAGGGGACAAACAAGATTTTCAGACACTACTTGTGTCATACGACAATGTTTTCAACCCGTCAATCCCCGGATACAACGGTGCTATGGGACCTTTTAAATCGGTGGTAAACATGGGTCCTACTCAACCGCCCCAGAGGAAGGGCAGGATTCCCCAGTATAGCAGAGACAAACTTGTCGATCTACAAGAGAAATTTGATTTTCTGGAGAGTGTTGGCGTCTTCGCAAAACCGGAAGATGTGGGTGTGAATGTCGAATATCTGAACCCTTCATTTCTGGTAAAAAAAGAGCAACGGTTCGTTCCGCTTGGTTACTGCTTTCAACGAAGTTGGAAAATATTGCAAACCTCAACCGTCTCTTTTACCTGACGTAAATTCAACATTACGTAACATTGGAGGATGGAAACACATTATTACCACTGACTTATCCAGTGCCTTTTATCAGATTCCACTGGATAAGAATTCTATGAAATATTGTGGAGTTGCTACTCCTTTCAAGGGAGTAAGAGTCTACACACGTTCAGCAATGGGAATACCCGGGTCGGAGACAGCATTAGAAGAGATGATGTCACGTGTCCTTGGTGATCTTATAATGAAAGGCGTCGTTTGTAAGATCGCCGACGATCTTCATTGTGGCGGCGAAACTGTGAAAGAACTTATGGATAATTTCCGACAGGTTCTACGAGCTCTCAGCAAGTGTGATCTCCGTCTTTCTCCGACCAAAACCGTGATTTGTCCAAGGGAAACAACAATCCTCGGATGGACTTGGAAAAGTGGTTTTCTCTCTGTCAACACTCACCGTATATCTACATTGTCAAACTGCGACCGCCCCATGACAGTTTTCGCGCTCAGATCCTTCATTGGTGCCTATAAAGCATTCGCACGCGTACTACCTGGCTGTGCTTCGATACTTGCTCCCCTAGATAGCATGACTGCCGGAAAACAGTCCCAGGATAAACTGTCATGGACGGAGGAGAATGTTGTTGCCTTCGAAAATTCAAAGAAATCTCTACTCAACCATCGTTCTATTATGATTCCTCGGATCAACGATGAGCTTTGGCTTGTGACAGATGCCTCCTCTCGACACTCTGGTCTTGCTGCAACTTTGTACGCCAAACGCGGAGATAAGCTTCGTTTATCTGGATTTTTCAGCGCAAAACTCCGAAAACATCAGGTGACTTGGATACCGTGTGAGCTGGAAGCGTTAGCTATAGTTTCTGCGATCAAACACTTCGCTCCATATATTATACAGTCAAGTCACCAAACGCATGTTTTATCTGACATAAAGCCTTGCGTACAAGCACATGTTAAATTATGCAGAGGAGAGTTTTCTGCAAGTCCACGAGTGTCTACATTTCTCTGTTTAGCCAGTAGATATCACGTTTCTGTGCAACACATGGCAGGTTCAGATAATATTCCAACTGATTTCGCAAGTAGAAACGCAAAAGAATGCCAAAGCCAGAAGTGTCAAGTTGGCAGCTTTGTCTTTGACCTACAAAACTGCGTGGTATCTAGTGTTTCCACCAACGATGTTCTTAGCGAGATCAAACAGCTACCATTCACCAACCGAAAAGCATAGCTTCAAATTCAACAAGAATGCTACGATCTACGTCGAACTAAGGCCCACTTATCTCAAGGTATGCGACTTAGTAAAAAAAAACAACGGAGTGTCTAACGTGAAACGTTATCTGCACATTGAGGGTCTTACCATCGCAAAAGACGGTCTTCTAGTAGTACGCCGTCAATCACCTTTGGAAAACGAACGTGATCTTATAGTAGTTCCCAGACAGGTGTTAAGCGGACTTCTTACTGCTCTCCACATCCGTCTAGAACATCCGTCCAGTTATCAGCTTAAGAGCGCAGTAAACGCCACTTTTACGCGTTGAACTTAGACAAAGAATCCGACGAGACATCGCATTCATGCCATCGATGTGCTTCCTTGAAAAAAAATTCCTCATCTTCAACAGGAACAGTCTTCAGAAGAACCCCCACCTACAGTTGGAGCATCATTTGCCGCTGATATTATGAAACGACACTCACAAAATATACTGATTGTAAGAGAAACGGTCACTTCTTTCACAACCGCGTGTTTTGTGAAGGACGAAACTAAGGATAGTTTACGGGAAGGTCTCATTCAACTGTGTGCAGAAATGCGACCACTTGACGGTCCATTTGCTGTCATTCGCACTGATTCTGCTCCTGGATTCAAATCATTAGTATCAGATGAGTCCCTTCGATCGTCTAGATTAGTCATTTAAATAGGACGTCCCAAAAACATCAATAAAAATCCAGTGGCGGAAAAAGCAGTTCAGGAACTTCAAGATGAAATTCTGCGCAAAGATCCCTCGCGTGATTCTATTTCTCAAACTACTCTCAGCCTGTGCGTTGCTCAGCTCAATTCTAGAATGCGCCGAGGAGGTTTGTCTGCGAGGGAAATGCTTTTTCAGAGGGATGAATTCACCTGTCAACAAATTCCCACTTCAGATAGAAAACTGATTATTGATCAGCATTCTATAAGAGCGAAAAACCACGACAGTAGTATGCAATCTAAAACGCCTTTAAAACAAAGCGCCAACGATAACAATCTCAGTGTAGGAGATATCGTTTATTTACATCACGACAAGACAAAGAATTACGACCGAGATCGCTACATGGTGGTAAAAGTCGACGGTCACTGGTGCAATGTTCAAAAATTCATAGGAAATCAGCTACGATCTGTCTTATAGAGTTAAACAATCAGACTGTTATAAGTTACCCGTTTATAAATGGAGAAAAGTCAACGATTTATGAAGTGACAACTCCGATGATTCGGACTTATCTTTGTCAGACTATGAAAACGTAAATACTGCTGACAACGACAAGGAACCTTACAATGACTTTGACTCTTTCCATGAATTTCAGCCTCAAGTTGACGAAAGCAACGAAAATGGTGAAGTTGAAACTCCATCAGATCTATGTGAACAACCAGCTCAAACTCTTAGACGTTCTACGAGAAAATGACAAACTCCCAGATATCTTACTGATTATGTTTTGTAATAATGTCTTAAAGGAGTTAATACCTATAAATCTGACACTCAGTTATCTATAAACGGAGAGGAGACTTGCATGTACCTATGACATTGACACTCTACTGTTACACCTTTGTACATACTGCACTAATGTTTTTGTATTGATTTTGCCGTTATTACACATTATTTAATCCTTTTATTTAAAAAAAAGAAAAGAAAGAAAGAAAGAAAAAGAGAAAGAAAAGTGATTACGCCAGTATTATGTAAAGTGCATTCGATTGTAACGAGTAAACACAGCTGTATAGTACGTAATTGCCTCTAGCAGTGACACTTGGTCATCTGCCTGATTTGCATGTAAATAAACGCTGAGTGCCTTGTCGGCACTTGAGGTATATGATTTGGACACTAAAGGCGTGTTTGTTTGCTTCATGTCATGGCGCAGAGGCTAAAACATGTTCCGTCGTAACTGTCCCCTCGCAGTGTATATGAGGGAGAGATTTATTAACTTGGATTTCAGGTCAGTCATAGCTGTTTAAGCAAACAAATATCCAAGTTATATATGTAAATGTTTTTATCGCTTCAATTCCATCTAAGAATAAAATGTGCTCGTTATATAAAGCAGGTATTACCCTTTACATATCTTAAGTGTTTGTCTGGAGAATATAGCATGTCTTTGTGCTGCTGTTTTTCATATGGGGACTTTAAAGGGTAACTATTTAAACAGGTATCTTAACAGGATAATCCGTGGAGACTGAAACAAAATGTTTAAAAGTTGTAAGGCATAAAAGCCTGTCAGCCATTGTCGCTGCCTTTTCACGAATAAAACGTCTGAACAAGACAGATGGTACTTCTTCATCTGCGACTTGTAATTAGTTTGATGGAAAATATTCAAAACAGTGTTGAATTAACTGTACTTACCTGTCAACATAAGGAAATAGATGAGTCTACGCATTTTGGTCTTTTGGGCAGCTTTCTCCTCTAGGTATCCCTTCGGTTTAGAAGCTACCCTCAGCGATTTTTAACGCAGCCTGAGGAATAAGGACGTATGAAGTATGCGTGTGCTTTTCCCGAATTCCCAAGCAGCAGTGAGCTTGATTTGAAAATTCCTTTGCGTTGTATTAACACTTTCATAATTCTTATATGCTGGTAGCCCACCAGGATTAAGGGTTTGCCAGCAGAAACACGTTGATTATCAAACGAAAAGGGTGCTTTGATGTTCGATTGTATTTGTGACTCCAGTATGAGTCCTACATTAGGCTTATGAATACCTATAAAACATGACTTATGGAAAATATTGATATAAAGAAGATTAAAACTTTCATTTCAGATACAAGTAGGTCGCAACTTGCTGAAATAATCTAAAATATTAAACCTAGGGGAAAGGACACGGTATGCCCTTGTAACCTGACCTACAACATGTGGGCATCAGTAAAATCCCCTTGTATTTGAACAATAAAGGTATTGATAACTAGAAAAGCACTCCGAGAGCGCAGACCTCCGCCAAGGCAGCGATTTTTGATTATTATTGATCCGGATCACCACCAACAACTAATCACCTCTTCCTTGGCCAACTTCTGACAGTTCCTGAAAATTTCATTTATAGAATCGGTCCAAAACTTAAAGGGATAATAACTCTTCGTATGAAATCTGTATTTCACAATAAAAACATTGTGAGTGACTCATAAAAATATAATATATTCTGTTTTCCCACAAAAACGGCTGTTATAGCTATTATTCTGATATCTGAGCTTGTCTTTAGACCACGTGACCTCCATTGATGGCTATACTCTGTTATAATCTCTTAAGAGATTTTAACAAAAAACCAAACTTTTTAGAAAAAAAACAGGGACTAACTTTGAATGTAAAAATGGATTCATTAACCATTGGTAAGTATGGGAAAATTGTTGTTTACTCCAGGAAAATTCATTTTTTGGCCGAAACGAAGAGTTATTATCACTTTAAGTTATGTTGATGACAAACAAACAGACAGACAAACAGGAGTAAAAACATAACCTCCTTGGCGGAGGTAATAAACACGATTGTTTCTGTCAAAGATGTATGATTGCAAGGTACAGGAAATATAAATAAAAAAAACCACTGGCAATATGCAGGAATATCTGCTACTTGTCAAACTACCACCAATATAAGATAACAAATACACATAATTAACGCGTGATAGAAATTAATTATTTTTTCTGGCATAATGTCAATTTATTGAGGCAAGAAAACCCCATCCTGCGAGGTCCCAGAAGTAGGCAAATTGCAGTTGTGCAACTTAATGAAAATGACCCTTTGCCAAAACGTGCCATAGAAAGCAACAGACACCATGCAGACAACGATAATGATCTGATCGGTACTGATTGAAAGGCTCACAGTTTCTCTACGTACATGTATTACAAGCCATACAGAGCTAACAGGAAAACAAGGCAGCAAAGCTGTCAAATGTACAGACAAAAAACAGAAAAAAAGATGCAAAATAGGTCATTTTGTCAATTTTGATGCAATAATAAATGCTTATAATAGCACAGTCAGTCAACACTGATTTTTAATCTTGCACAAGAGGTAACATGGTCAATAACAGGAGCAGATCCAGAGATATTTTCTGACAGTATACCAAAGTATCTTTGTTGATCTATCCTCCATTTTGATGGTCTTCCAACAGAAACCCGTTTATATAAACTTTAAAATCTGACTGTCTTCCAGGAGACCCAGAAGATGGTCTCAATCCACCCCTTCAATAAGATTACAGTGTCAGGACCATGAGAATTAAAATTCACATGATGAAAGTCTCAATATATGAAAAATGATGACAGTGCATAAAATAATATTACAGCGTGTTTAAAGACATAAATACCAATACAACTGCTTATGTGGAAATACTGAAAATGTTAGAGCCTCAGGTGAATGGGAGTTAAAAATCACATCTTAAAAATGCCAGTGTTGGAGAAAAAATTAAAAAGAAAACAACAAAAATATAATTCCAATGAAGCTGCTATCCATGCTTCCTTATTATGGACACTATGTTATCTAGCAGAGAGCTTAACCTTTGGGAGTTTACAGGGAAATATCAACAAGTGTGCTTTATTAAATCTCATTTAATGGCCCCTTAATTAGGCAAATGAGTTTATAGCACTGAAATTAGCCCAGTGAATACCCAAGGGGAATTTACAGACTGACCACACAAATTTGTCTATCAAAGGTCTTCAGACTCATAAGTCACACCTTAAGAAAAGCAGAAAACCATAATGCACAAATACAGGAGACTGCCAATTCTGATGCAATAATACATTATGTTTAACTGCACAGTCAACATCAAATTTTAATTATGCACAACAGGTAACACTGATGAAAGTAAAAGCATAAGGCTTCAGGCCCATCAGAATTCAAGTTTACAATTAGAAAGTGCCAGAATGAGAAAAATGAAAATTTCACAAAAAATGCATAAATTTAATAAAAATGATAATCCAATA